ACTAATAGGAATGGGAAAAATGATGGATCAAAGGACCCGTAAAAGCTCCTTCTCGAATCTCAAACTGAAACTAATCCTTGGGTGTCACCTTGTTGGTAAAAATCACCTATATGAGACCTAACTGTCAGTGATTTAAAACCAAAATGAGGTTTAACCAGCCCAAATCACACCCACTGTTTTCAAGTTGTTCCTGACTCATCAGGACCTGTATTGTTGTTGTTTTGAAGTACCATGGAGTCTGTTTCCAAGACTATATCTTTACAGAAGCAGACAGCTTCCTCTTTCTCTTAGGGAGCAGCTGGTGGGTTTGAACCACTGGACCTTTCAGTTAACCTTTCAATGCATAACTCACTGTGCTACTAGGGCTACCTGAGAATGGGAAAGGGCAGAGAAAGTAGATTAGTGGAAATGGAACAAGCAGAAAAGAAATCATGAGAACATTTATTATTGTGAAGCTTGACTAATGGCCCTGAATAAGTTTGTGTAGAATGGAATGTTGAATGGAAGCTAAATTGCTTTGTAAACCTTTACTGAAAACACTATTACATATTATCCACCCCCTATTAAAAAAAAACCTTCACATTTTGATCAGGAACCCAGGAAGGGCACACTTGAGATGCAGAAAGAGCCACACCCTCAAGCAGGGTGCAGCCTGACTCTAGGGGGTCCCAAGGTATAGAAGACACCCCCTGGCATGAGCTAGAGGCACCTCTTCAAGGTGGGGTATCCCCCCACCGCCCAAATCCGCTATGACCCTTCTTCCTGCCTCCCCTTGATTCTTTCCCCCTGCTGCTGATTCACTGTTGGGAATTGAATTGACCAGGTACCTTCCCTGAGCATCTTTTCTTCCACTCTGCATTTATTGCCCTCTGTGCCCAGTCAGTCACTCACCCAACCAACTACAGGCTTCTCAGGCTTTACAATGTTCACACATCCCTGGGGAGCTCATTAAAATGGTCTGGGGTGGGCCTGGGAGTCTGCCTTTCTGACGGGCCCTCAGGTACTGCCCCTGCTGCTGGCCTACAGCCAGCACATTCAGGCATCTCTGATGGCTACTTACTAGACAGTTGTCTATCTTGGGACCAGGCACAGAAATCAAAAGGGAACAGGAATAGTTAGAACTATTGAGTGTGCATTATATGCCAGGCTCTGTGCTTAACTCTTTCTATGGGTTTTGACTTTTGATCTTCACAATACTCCTATGAGATACTATCAGCATTCTCATTTTACAGATGAATACAACTATATTACCAAGGGACCTGATGGGGCTGTCCCCTTTCTGGGGAAGAAGGTGACGCCCACAGGCCCGCCCGCATACCGCCCAGGGCAGTATTGTGGCAGGAATGTATCCTGTGTCCTAATTAGAAGTGGGTTTCTGAAAAGGTTCTCCCTACCCTTGAAATTCCACACATAGAACTGAGAGCTGCCCCCTTGCCCACCTGTCAGACATGCTTCAAATTTCAAAACTGCCTCTCTTCTTTCAAGCTTCTCAACACTTCACAATATTTTGACGTAGGAAGAAGAAGCAGAAAAAAAGGAAATGCTTTGAAACCGTTCTTGCTTGGATTTTTGCTCTTGGACCATGTGACTGAATTGAAGTTGAGTTATAGGATTCCAGTTTAACATATGCAGTTACTATAGCAATTGAGGTTTCCTTAGTAACAGTTGCAAAAAATAATCTGGCCCCAATTAATAATACATTTTAAAGCTCTTTCTACTCTTCAACCCAGGTCCCCCCCACCCCCTTTGGCCAAGAACCAGAGAATTCAGATGGTGTCACATACACTGATATAGATATCATTTGCATGTTGTGGATTGGGCTGGGAAGGAATGAAAAAGGGAGCTGGTTGTTTCAAGTATTACGGGAATCTGATTCAGAAGACTGGCAAGCTAATGCGAATCTAGTTTCTTGAGTTTGGGTGCTTAAAGCTAAACCTTGCCTTAGATTCTGAGTGTGCCCTAAAGGGCTACCCATGATTCAGGAAGGGAGAGGCAGAAGGCTAGACTTCTTAAAACAAAAAAGAGGAGACTGGAAGGGTGGGCTCATGGAACACCGGCTGTTGTTAAGTGTGGTCGAGTCCATTTTGACTTAGTGACTCTGTGTAAGGTTTCTGAGGAGTGACTGGTGGGTTTGAACTGCTGACCTTGCAGTTAGCAGTCCAGTGCTCCTCCTGCAGCGCCACCAGGGCTCTCCCTCACAAATGGATGCTTGGTGTGTTCTTGATGAGAAGCTCTACAGGCATGTGTAAGAGCTCTGGTGGCGCAGTGGTTAAATGCTGAGGTGTTCACCATAGTGTTCGTAGTTAGAGCCTACCAGCCATGGGCGAAGGCTCTGGCAGTCTGCTTCTGTAAAGATTTCCAACCTTGGAAACGCTCTGGAGCAGTTCTGCTTTGTCTTGTAGGGTTTTGTGGGTATGTGAATTCAACAGTCTTAGAGAAAGAGACTGTTACCAGATTGGCCATAAGATGGACAAGGTGCCCTCCAACTTGCTTTTGCAGTCATGGTGTAAGGTACTTGGACCTGCCGTACCTTAGCATGCTAAATCCTTGCTGCCCTTCCAAACATTTGTTCTGTGTTTCCAGGGGTGCCAGGTGGCAGTCGGTGGGTTCCCAGAGGTCCATGTGCCTTGGTTTGTGGGACTCAATCCTGGGTGCTGTCTTTCCACACCAGGCTCAGAGTGAGTCCCAGGCAGGAGAGTACCAGGTCTGGAGCAGCTCTTGGTCCTTCAGAACTAGAACTGAAGGCAGAGGGTGGAGACTCACAGGCTGCCCCATGCTCTCCCTGTGTGTAGTCTGTTCTTGGTTCTTGACCTGTGTCTCTTTCGTGCCTGGTGAGTGATCTGGCCTGTATGCCTGAAAAGCTAAGTGTAAAGAGAGGAAGGGGTGGAGATTGAAGGAGGGCTTTACTCTCAGTTCTCTGAAAGGAATTTAGAGTCTCCCCCGCCTCTCCCTCACCTGAATGAAGGGAGCCATGATGGCACTGTAGGATAACACTGGACTGCTGACCTCAAGGTCCGCTGTTCAAACCCAACAGCAGCTTTGTGGAACAAACATAAGGCTTTCTGTTCCCATTAAGAGTTAATCTCAGAAGCCCTATACAGGATCTCTGCAAGCCGGAATGGACTTGATGACTATGGGGTGGGTTTGGGTTTAGCAGGGAAGAGTCTGGATAAAGGAAAACTGAACCTAAGTATGATCATGATGAAGTCAGTGAGATCTCAAATTATCTTCATAAAATATATTTCATGAGACCTTGGCTTCTTGCCACCTTAAAGGTGAATTGAGTCATTAGTAGCAGGTAGGAAGGCACTTGGTTAATTTCCAGAGCAGGATATGGAGGGACAGAGAAGACTGGAATTGGCTCTGTTCTGTCCCTTTGCTTGTCATCTCAGCCTTCTTACACTCTCTTCCCGCAGGACCCCACACCAGCATCCTCTAGTTACTTGCTACCCTATTTCTTCAGTAGGGTTTTGGTGGTTCAGTAGTAAAATTCTCACCTTCCTTGTGGGAGACCCAGGCTCAATTCCAGGCCAATGCATCTCATATGAAACCACCACCCATCTGTCAATGGAGTCTTACATGTTACTACGATGCTTAATAGGTTTCAGACTAAGAAAGACTAGGGAGAAAGGCCTGGTGATCTGCTGAAAATCAGCCAGTGGGAACCTTTGGATTTCAATGATTGCACCCACAATTATGGAGTTCTAGTGTGGTGCTGCGGGTTAATGCGCTTGGACTGCAAGGTCGGTTTGAATGGCAAGGTTGGCAGTTCAACCTCACCAGCCTCTCCTTGGAAATCCTATGTAGGCTCACTATGAGTTGGAACTGACTCGACGACACTTAACAACAACAACACCCACAATTATGGGGAGGACACAGGACCAGGCATTGTTTTGCTCAGTATGCATATGGTCACTGTGAGTGAGGGGCCAGCTGCATAGCAGTTATCAGCCACCCCTACATACAAGAGGGCTTCAAAAAGTTTGTGGGAAAATTCTAGTATCTTCTCATTCCATTCTTCCATGAGCTTTTGAAACTCCCTCATACTCCTTCACCACTCTCTAATCAGTCACTGACTCTCTAATTCATATACTTACGCCCTCGTATGTTTCAGTAAGCATCCATCAGACACTTCCCAAAGTCCAGGCACTGCGCTAGACTCGGAGACTGAGGTGATGAGTATTTCCGCTGGGTCTGGGACTCTGCCTTACTCTTTATGGTATCCCCTGCATGGGGCACCATGTGGGGCACAGAATAGGTACTTTGTAAAATATTGGCTGATTGAATGGGATAAAAGCTTGGTCTCTACCCTTGGGAGCATGCAATATAGTGTGGAAGAGAGAGATCAGGAAAACAGCCTGGTGAACAGACAGTGACACTATATATAGAGAGAGGATCGAGGTTGCTGATTGAAAGCACAAGGCAGGCCATTGAGCCCAGTAGGATGGGAGCAAGGAGTGGGAACTACAGGGTGAATAGAGATGGGGTGGTAAGGGGAGATGGCAGATGTAGACAAGCAGAGAGGACGCAGGAACCAGAGGTTGGGGGACTTGAGTAGAAAGTTCTGGAAGGAGTGTAGACTGTTACTTGAGGTCCAGATCATAAAGGGACTCTGCTGTGAAAAGGAATTGCTTTCTCTGTATTCTATAGGCAGTTGGGAGGCATTAAAGCTTTCATAGCAAGGAAATGATGTGGTCAGTTTTGTTTTATCTGAGTTACCCTGTAGGCTACATGGTGACCAAGCGCACAGGCAGGAAGTAGGAGGGAAGATGAGGGCTTAAATAAGGCAGGGGTGCTGCAGAAGACAGGAGGGTGCTCTGGCGTGAAAGCAGCTCCATGTCGATCTCCTCACGCCAGTGTGTTTTGGAGGAATCTAGTCACCGTTAAGCCCTTGCCAATTGTGCTTGGGTTTGGATCTTGGAAGTGGGGCTTGGGAAGGGCCACTTGTCCAAGGAACGTGCTATCATTCTGCTGAGCTGTTCCCACCCTTTCCTTCGCAGTGACAAAGCTACAGGTGAGCAAGTCCAAGCGGACCCTCACCCTGGTGGAGAACAGGCCCATTCAGCTGAACTGCTCAGTCAAGTCCCAGACCAGCCAGAACTCCCACTTTGCTGTGCTCTGGTATGTGCACAAGCCTTCGGACGCTGATGGCAAGCTTATTCTCAAAACCACACACAATTCTGCGTTCGAGTACGGCACCTACGCTGAGGAGGAGAGCCTGCGAGGACGGCTTCAGTTCGAGAGGCACATGTCTGGGGGCCTGTTCAGCCTCACTGTCCAGAGAGCTGAGGTCAGCGACAGCGGCAGCTACTATTGTCATGTGGAGGAGTGGCTGCTAAGCCCCAACTATGCCTGGTACAAGCTAGCAGAGGAGGTTTCTGGGCGCACAGAAGTCACAGTGAAGCAGCCAGGTAAGAGCAGAGGGCATGGCCATCATTTGTGTGGGGAGTTGATGCAAAGAATGCCAAAGGCCCTAGTTGGGCCCACCTGATGAGACCGTCTGCAAGGTCTATATTAGCAAATCTAGTACAGGTTCATACACCATCATCCTAGTGCATTCTGGGATTTCCGCCTTTACTGGTGCTTGGTCCAGATGCGGACGCCACATTCAGGAGTATACTGGACTCTGCTGTAATTTTCAGCCTCTTCTCCAGCGAGGAGGCCTGAGAGGGCAGCTGTGGTTAGCAAGATGCCATGAGGCAGGACTGGTGGCCACTCCTGTACCTCCCTCTCGGTTTTTAGTTTGCACCTTGGGCCTCAGGCTGGCACCAGCTCAGTTCCACACCTATGATTTCTACAAGATTTCCTATGTCTGCTTCCACCTTCTTCCATATCTCACATCCCCAGTAAGGGTAAGCCCTCCTTGTCTCCCCAAATGGAATCAGCCCTCCTCTGCCCTCCGAGAACCCTGTGCGTGCAGCCCATCCTCTGCAGCTCCCTAACAGATGGTCCCCTTCCTCTGCTGGAACGTTTCCACAGAAAAGGGAACTTAACGACCCCAGCAGTTCTGGTGGTTGAGTTTTTCCTTATGTGGAAGAAGCTCACTTCCCTATAATTTCTCTCAGGCTTTAGATATGTTCCTGGAACAACCCAAGAGAAGTTTGGGTTGCTTGCTTTCTAATAGGTGAAGGGCACTGTCTCCCTTTCTTCTTAAAGATCCTTGGAACCCTTTCAGCTTCTCCTCACAGAACACAGCTGAAGTGTCCTCTCTGTTCTTCACTCTCGCGGGCCTGACACTTTGTCACTGCCTACACTTCCTGTCAACTGCAGGGCTGCTCTGCAACCATCCCGACTCATGTCACTTTTGTTTACGCTGTCCACTGTGTCTGGAATGCATCTCTCCCCTGCCCCACCTGCAGGCATACCTTGGAGACATTGCACGTTCAGTTCCAGACCACCGCAGTAAAATGCATGTTGCAATAAAGTGAGTCACCTGGAATTTTTGATGTCCCAAAAGCACATTATAAAGTTATGTCTGCCCTATACCATAGTCTGTCGAGTGTGCAGTATTATGAGAAAATTTGAAATATATTGTGAGAATTACCAAAATATGATGCAGAGTCACAAAGTGAGCACATTCTATTTGACAGTGGTGCTGGTAGACTTCCTGGATGCAGGTTTGCCACTGACCTTCAATTTGTGAAAAACACAAATTTTTAGGGGCAGCAAAACCAAACATAATAAAGGGAGTATGTCTTTATTTGTCAGTATCACTTCCAGGACGTCCACCCTGACTTCCCCCATACCACTAGGGGTCTTTATAAAATACACAGTTTTAGAGCTGTTACGTGTATTCTTCCATTGCATACCACACTGTAAGCACTTGGAGAACAGGTCTGTGTCTTTGTGTCTTCAGCCACTAGCGTGGCCCCCCTGATAGAGCGTGGCTGAATGAAGGGACAAATGGTTGCTTTCTTTGAATCTCCTACTCCCAGGGCCTTTGTATTTATTTGTGCCTTCAGCCTAGAACATACTGACAAGAGATATTCATTATTTTGCTATTCCTTTAAGAGGCATTTCTTGATTATCTTAACTAAAATGAACCTGTAGGCACTCTTTAAAGAGCTCTGGTAGTGTAGTGGTTATGAGTCGGGCTGCTATCCTCAAGGTCAGCAGTTCGAGACTACCAGCAATTCTGCAGTAGAAAGATGAGACTTTCTGCTTCCGTAAAGATTTACAGCCTCAGAAACCCTATACAGGGTTGCTATGAGTTGAACTGACTCCACAGCACATCACCACCACCAACCAAGCACTCTTTAACAGGTCCTGGTGGTATAATGGTTAAGAGTTTGGCCTCTAGAAAATGTGGAACAAAACTCAAAATTACAAAACAAAACAAAGACTGACATACAGGTCAGAAAGAGACTGGAGAAATGTGAGACTGTCTGGAATTGTGGCCTTCAGTCTGGAATTGTGGCCCAATTTTCAGCCAAGCTGTGAATAAGCAGATAGGAGGAACAACAACCCTAGTAAGGTATGTGCACTATGGAATGGTCAGCCACTCAAGTTCAAAAGAGCAGCATTTAGCTAAGGACAAAGTCCAGAAGGGTGGGGAAGGAAGGAGGGTAGACTAGAAACCAGAGGACCAGGGAGGAAGTGAGATAACTTGTTATATGGAGGAGGGGACTGCAATCATTGAGATGAAACAGTGTATGATTTGTTGAATGTAGACCTAATGATCTGCTCTGTAAACCTTTACTCAAATCGGCAAGAAAAACTTTAAAAACATAAAAGAATTTGGCTGTTAAAGAAAGATCAAACCCACCAGCAGCTCCATGGGAAACAAGATCTGGTGATCTGCTCCCGTAAAGATTACAGCCTAGGAATCTAGCTCAGTGGGGCAGTGGTCCTTTGTTACATGGGGTCTCTGTGAGGAGGAATCAACACAATGACACATAGCAACCGCACTCTGTATCTGCGTTTCCCATCTGCTTATCTCTAGCTGACATTCTGTTTACTTCTCCGTTCATTTCCTCTAGACTATAAGCTCTGTGAGTGAGTGAGTGAGTGCAGGGACTTAGTTATTTTCACCACTGTATCCTCACTGCTGTGTCTCAGGGGGTTCCTTCAGGAAGTCACTGGCACCTGACCACAGTGTTCCACATGCTGAGTACACTGGGCCTGCTCTCCTCCTTTGTCTGAGAATTGCGTCTTTCTAAATCCGCCCCAGTACAGAGGTTTCTCAGGGTGACATTTGTATTGGTGAGTGACATTCTGCTGGTCCCTGCAGGTATTTCCAGCCCAGGTTGACACTGTGGTTAGGCATTGGACTGCTAACTGCAAGGTCAGCGGGTTCCAAGTTACATGCTGCTTTACAGGAAAAAAACGAGGCCGTCTGCTCCCATAAAGATTTAGTGTCTCAGAAACCCTACATAACTAGGGTTGATAACAATCAGTGTGGTTTGGGGGAATTCAGTCCTGATGTAGGCCATCTCTTGGAGCTTTAGGAAACAGAATGTTGTGAACAGGCCCACAAGTGGTTTCTATTCTTCCTCTCTGTTTTTGGTTGTGATTATTTTCAATCCTAGAAGAAGAAGAAGAAAAAAGATGTCTCCCACATCCAATTTTCTCTTTAGCCACTGCCTGCCCTTCCCCTTTCCTCATTTGTACCAAAATGAAAAGATAAATAAAAAAGAAAAAAAAACACAAACTCTGTTCCTCTATCAAGTCAATTCCGACTCTTGTTTGGGAGTAGAAGTGCTGTGTGGGGTTTGCTTTGCTGCAGTCTTTATAGAAGTAACGTCTTTCTCACACAGTACCACTGGGTGAGTTCAGCCTCCAAGTTTTAGGTCAGTAGCCAGAGGAAACCATTGCACCCCCCGTGGATTCAGTGCCATCAAGGGCATTCTGACTCATTGTGCCCTACAGGGCAGAGGACAACTGCTCCCTTGGGTTTCTGAGACTGTAAATTTTTATGGGCACAGTCTCATTTTTCCTCTGTAGAGTGGCTGGAGGGTTTGAACCTTGAACTTTGTAGTTAGCAGCCCAGTGCTCAACACACTGCACTGCCAAGACTCCTTGAGTAGATTCTTTGTCAGTCCTAAATTTATTGAGGGGATTTCCCCATCTACAGACTTACATTAAGCTAACTGAGACAACAAAAGAGGAGTGTTAGAAAAAGAAATCCTTGTCAAAACACATTTATAGTGAAATCTCTGTTTATGATGAATGTTTGCACAATCAACAGAAAACTTGTAGGACACTAATTAAAACAACACATTTCTCTTGAGTTTTGGGTTGTGTGTTTATTGTGTAGGAATTTTTTGTTTTTTGGGGTACTTTTTCTGTTTTAGTGCTTTTTCCTTTTTTTTTTTTTTTTAAATGAAAGCGCATATTCCTGAAGAGTTTTTGGAAAATACAAGAATGCACAGAGAAGAAAATCTTTCTTACCAGAGATAAGCAGAGTTAACCCCCTCCCTTGTCTGTTCCCTTTCTGCCCTCCACCCAGACACACACACACACACACCCAGACACACACACACACACACACACAGACACACACACACACACACACACACACACACACACACACACAAAGGGCCTTCAAAAAGTTTGTGGAAATTTTTCATTATTTTAATTTCCTTTATCCACCAACATTTTGAAGCTCCCTGATAACACTCTTAACTTTTGGGATACTAAAATTTAAGGTCTGCATTTCAAACCACCAGCTGCTCCTCAGGAGAAAAATGAGGTGGTTTGTTCCCATCAAGATTTACAGTCTTGGAAACTTTATGTACAATCGCTGTGAGTCTGAATCAGCGTAATGACCATTGGTTTGGTTTTGTGGGAAATTTGTTCATTTAAAATATACGTTATTTTATTATCATTATTATTATTATTTATTTTATAAATCCAAAAATATCATATGGATTGTAAAACATACAGAACTGAAGTATGGAGAGTAAAAAGTGAAAGGAAAGTGCCCCTCCCCTCAAACTTGGGCCCCCCTGTGTACACACAACTCCATACTGTGTCATCTTTCTGGTCCATATAGTCTCACTGGGGGCCTTTTGTGAGAATACACACACACACACAAAAATTATGCCATCTGTATCGACACTTTGTAGATGTTGGAGAATCTGCTTGACTGAGTTTTCAAGCCATCCACTTTCTTTGGTAATTAATCTTTAACTTGATATTTTGTTCCCACCTTGAGAGGGAACCAGCTTTTACATTTTTTTTTAAAGGGAAGTAATAAGTATAATTCTCAGGGCCCACTTTCTGAGAGTCTGGTAAATTGGCTTTCCTCTCCAGTTCTTCCTTATTTATTGCCGGTGTTATTAAGTCTCATCCAGTCGGTTCTGACTCAAGCGACCTGTATAGGATTTCTGAGGTTTGAACTACTGACCTTGCAGCTAACAGTCCAGTGCTTATCCTACAGCATAACCCACAGGTCCACCCCTACGAGTCTGACACACACTTCATGCTTCAGGGCTTGTTGTCATATTGGGCTGTGTAGACATACACAGGTGATGCTTGTTCCCCACTGAGCATCTCTATAGGAGAGACTTATGACTTGGGGGCAGCAGTTACCATAACACTGAACTCCTTGAAACCTAAGCATTCCAGACACATGATCCAGGAACTGGGAGTGTTTATGGAGCCCCGTCTGAGAACTGTTTCTTCTAAATGAGTCTGGACTGCTGTCCCTCTGTATCTGGAAAGCACTTGGTTACCCACAGCACTGGTTCACCTGTGCTTATAAAGCATGTGCATTCAGGGCTTACTGTTGTCTTGTCACTGAATCTCGTTCCTCACTGTTCCAGACAGCCGCCTGAAGCTCAGCCAAGCCCAGGGGAACCTGTCGGTGCTGGAGACCCAACAGGTACAGCTGGAGTGCACAGTTCTGAACCGCACCAGCACGACCTCCCAGTTCATGGTGGAGTGGTTCGTGTGGAAACCCAACCACCCAGAGCAGGAGACAGTCGCCCGCCTGAGCCGGGACGCCACCTTCCACTACGGAGAACAGGCAGCCAAGAACAATCTGAAGGGGAGGCTGCATTTGGAAAGCCCCTCCTCTGGTGTGTACCGGCTCTTCATCCAGAATGTGGCTGTGCAGGACAGTGGAACATACAACTGCCGCGTGGAGGAGTGGCTGCCCAGCCCCAGCGGCATGTGGTATAAACGAGCAGAGGACACTTCTGGGCAGACAGCTGTCACAGTGATGCGACCAGGTGAGGGTTATTGTCCCCAACTTCCCACCCTCTTGAGTATTTTTGTTTTAAGGGTTAAGTTTTTATGCTCTGGATAAGATGACTATTTATTAATCAGCAGTCCTTGGGTACAAAAGGAACCCTAGTGAAAAAGTCGTTAAGTGCTTTGCCGCTAACCTATAGGTCAGCAGTTCAAATCCACTATCTGCTCCATGGGAGAAAGATGTGGCAGTCTTGATTCTGTAACGATTTATGGCCTTGGAGACTCTGAAGCAGATCTGTCCTATAGAGTCACTGTGAGTTGGAATTGACTCATTGGCAATGGATTTTAATGGGCTGGGTGGTAAGTTAACATACTTGACTGCTAACCAAAAGGTTCATTCACCTAGAGGCACTAGGGAAGAAAGTGTTCTACCTGAAAACTCAGCCACTGAAAGAAAACCCTATGATGCATAGTTCTGCTCCGACAGACAGGATCTCCATGAGTCAGAATCAACTCAACAGCAGCTGGTGGTGATACTAACTCATACATTATCTGCTGCTAATTAAGTGATCGTGGAGTCTTGGTGCCGCGCTGTGGGTTAATACGCCAGACTGCAAAGCCGTTTGAACTGCAAGGTTGACAGTTCAAGCTCACCAGCTGCTCCTTGGAAACCCTATCCAGGGTCGCTATGGGTCGGAACCAACTCGATGACACTTCATGGCACTTCACAACAACAACAATTAAATGATCATTGCGTTATGCGTTTGTATTCAAAATGGTCTCAATGTTTTGTTTTGTTTTTTTCTTGCTAATGGAAAAGTGCACATCTAGCTTTGGGCTCTGGCAATTCTGTTTCTGAACTGGAGTTTAATGTGGCAGTGAATTATTGCAAGAAAGGAGACAAACAAAAACCCATTGCCATGGATTGATTTGGATTCACTGATATGCTACAGGACAGAGTAGAATTATCTCATAAACTTCCAAGGCTGTAACTTTATGGAAGCTGACTTGTCACATCGTTCTCCAGGGGAGTGTCTGGTGGGTTCAAACCACTGAGCTTTCAGTTTGCAGCTGACCACTTTAACCATCATACCACCAAACCAAAAGCCCAAATCCACTGCCATCGAATGGATTCCATTTCATAGAGACCCACCATAGGATTTCCAAGGCTGTAAATCTTAATGGGAGCAGAAAGCAAGTCTTCTTAATTATTTCAGAGCATAGACTATTTCCTTTTTAAGCAATATATTCTGATTTGGGTGTGGTGGATATAACAAAAATCGTGAAACAATAGCCGCATGGTTCAAAAAATTAAGCTTTATTAATTGTGGATTTTCAGTGGAAAAGGATGGATTCACAGCTTTAAATAGAAAAAGTGAAAGAAAAAAATTATCCAAAGACTTTACTCTTTGACATCCTAATAATTTTATTGGTGCTAATAACTATCTGTGTGGCCTTTAGCTTTTCGTGTCTTTATTGTTGTTTTCTAAAATGCCTAAATGTGGGCAATTGCTATGTCTAATTGCTGTTATGCATGCAAACATATCATTAAAAGCTAAAGTGTGCATGAATCCTGTGTCCTTCACAACACCACAAACTCGTTCATCCATAATTGAGCCAAAAGTCAGCCTCCCTCCAGGAACATTGAACATAAATGAATTAGTGACCTACATCAGTCTGGACTTTTTCCCCTGAGTATCCCAGTATTCAAATGTGTCATCTTTGGTACAGTTAAATTTTTTTATAATGTTTCACATTTGAGCAGAGTAGCTTTTGTTGCTGGTGGAGCACCAGAGCTTCGCAGTTGTGACCCATTACAGAACTCATTTCAGTGAGGAAAATACGCCCTTTGATACAGGCATTGTCTCACCCGCCTGAGTCTTGCTTAAACTGGAGGGGAAATTGCCTCCATTTGAGTTACTCATATGTCCCATGAGCTGAACAAAGAACGTAATATACCCAGAGTCTTTTCTTTTCTCTTCCCTTTTTTCCCTACCTTGCCTAATTATTGCTACTTCCCTCTCCTACCCCAAAGCTAAAATTTTAGAGAGATGGCAACTGAGGCTTCTCCTTCCCTCTGGTTCCACCCATTTTGCAGACCACCAATCTGAGGCCCCAGGTGGAGTGGGAAGAGGCTGACTTTGAGTGCTTGCTAGTACCAGTGCAGTTAGGAACTCGATGCTTAGTCCTCAATACAACCTGAATGGGTGATGTTGCTATCCTCTTTCACTAACGAAGCCTGAAGAGCAAATGCCACACAGCTAGTAAGAGCAGGCGGGGCATGGTCCCTTTCCACCACACTGTGTGCTCCCAACATGACCCTTACACCTGTACGTCTCACTGTGTCTCCTGTTCAGCCAAATTAACCAACGTGGACTTACATCTGTGTGGCTACCCACCCTGCTGTACTTTCTGATCATGCTAATAACGTGATCATGCTCATTGGAAAACAGAAAGTTTAGCACTGAAAAGGGAAATCATCTATAATTGCACTATGTACAGATAACCCACAATTAGTAACTTGGTGTCTGTGCTTGGACTTTGCCTTATATATTCATATCCTGTGGCTGTGTCTCTCCCTCTTTCTAAATGAAGTTAGGATCTCACTTTTATGTGAATTTTTTCCTCCCCGCTCAACATTTTGTGAGCATTTTCCCATGTCACGCAAAGTATTTAAATTTTGTAACTAGCTTTGTTACCAGAAAAGGTATGCTGGTGGCATAATGGTTAATCGCTCAACTGCTAACTGAAAAGTTGGGAATTTGAACCCACCAGCCTTCTCCGTGGGAGGAAGATGAGGCTATCTGCTTCAGTAAAGATTTACAGCTTTAAAAACCCTGTGGAGCTATTCTACTTTGTCCTGTAGCATCGTTAAGAATTGAAATGGACTTGATTCCAAAGTTTTTTGTTTTGTTTTGGGTAATACTCATTGTCCTCTCAAAGATTTTGTTCTGAGGTAGAAGTTGAATATAGAAAAGACTTGACGTAAAACAACTCCAAGAGTTCTGTTAAGAAAATGATCATTTTCAGTTGAACAGGGTCCACTATTTACTGTGGGATGTTATCAAGTGCTGTCAAGTCTAGTGCATCTCATAGCAACCCTGTATAGGGTTTTCAAGGAGCAGATGATGGGTTTGAACCACCTACCTTGTGGTCAGCAGTCCGATACTTATCGTACAGTGCCACGCTATAATATAAAACATGTGAAATGTAAGGTTCCTTCCCTCAGTGAGATTGTAGCTGATTGGGTTAGTCATGTGTTTTGCTCAGACAGCTGGGGAAGAGAGAAAACTAAGGCCAGGAGTCCAGTGGTCAAGGTTATAACTGTGGAGGCCTTTAGCACCACGTGTCGGAGAGCGGCAATCATAAACACCTCTCTTGTGACTCACGCTTGGGAAAGAAAAGGGTACTGAGGTTTGAACAGAAAGGAGGGCAGACACGAGGAAGTATGTACGTAGAGGTGTGGAAAGTGAGTAAGTTTGTGAGAAGGTAGAAGTTAATTTCATTTAAAAAAAAAAAATACTTGGATTGAAAAGCAAACAAACTTGGATGGAGTCATTAGTGCACACAAGATACTTGTAGGGACCAAGGAAAAATGAGGAGAGAAGTCAAAGGGAGCACAGACAAGGGAAGGACCTACCTAGGGGGCCCGAGTCTCTGATGAGGTCGCTGACTGTCTTGCCACCTCACCACAATGGTTCCATCTGTTCACATCACTTCAATCCACCTCCTCTGATGTATTAGTCAGCCAATAAGAGCCTTGGAGAGCTACTGTGATGCTGTAGGATGAGCACTGGCCTGCTAACTGCAAGATAAACAGTTTAAACACTAGCTCCTTCTCAGAAACCCTATACAGAGTCAATAGGAGTCAGAACTGACTCGATGGCACTTAACAACAACAGGTGCTTTGAGATACAGGCTTATACTCTGGAGGACAAAAAACACCATACACACCCCAGTCTGTTGTACGGACTTTGGGAGGTGACGTCTCAGCTGTGCTCTGTGGAAGGATGATCCCTGAGTGAGGGAGCTTGTGGCACCTGTAATCTGATTTATTCCCCACGTGGCCCTTTGTGGCCCTCTAACGTAGTCTCTGCCTGCCACCTGTAGCCCGTTACTAATCTGCAAATTCCAGATGGGGGTCACAGAGGGGCTGGGCAGAGCCCCCATGAAAGCATGGCTTTGTATTCATCTTCAAGCAATAATTAAAGCCAGCTCACCAAAACCCGGAAGAGTGCTGGGAAGAAATGGTCCTATTTGGTCTTCCTCCAAGTAGAATCTGAGTTGGTACTTCGACTTTTGTTGAAGTTCCATCGCCATCTTTTGGGAAACTTTTAAAATAGCTAAAGGGAGACTTTGAAGAACTAGGGAGTGGATTATTTGTTTACAACCTATGACACTGAACGGGAGACAGACTGAGCGATTGCAGCCGCTCTGTGGGTGTGTTTGTGTGAGACTCACACAGTGGGGTCATCTCTCAGTAGCTATTCTGTGTCTTCCCCCTAAACTGGGAGAACACTATCCAGTGAGGTTCATGTTACGTCCTCCTGAGAGGTTCATGTATTTGGCTTAGGCCCCTGAAGAGAGTTTTAATCCCCTTGATGTTCACTGTGGGTTGGACACTGGTTTATGTGCACACAGTTTAAAATACAAATGCTGTAAAGGCCTTTACAGTAAAAATAAGTGTTCTTCCCTCCCCAGGCCCCTTTGAGTAGCCACATTACCAGCTTCTTGTAATGTTCTACCGCAGAGATTCTATATAAACAGATATGTCTACATGAATAAAATACGTTTTTTTCTGCTAACAGTGGTAGGGTACACACTGTCCTGCACCCTAATTCTTTTCCTGAGTCTCCTCCCACATTCTCTGTATGTAGAACAGCCTCCTCCTTCTCCATGTTGTTGGTGTTGGCTGCTGTCATTGAGTTGACCCCCAACTCATGGGGTCATGGACAAGGGGACAAAATGCTCTCCTGTCCTTTGCCACCCGAGGGCCAGGTGTGGGTTAAACCATTTCCATACCTGTCCATTGGCTGATTTTTGGAAGTAGATGGCCCAACCTTGCGAATCTAGAGGCTCCCTTGAAACCTGCTCTGCCTCATAACTGCGTGTGAGCCTCAGATGGTGGCTGCCGCCGAAGGGCATTGGCTGGGAATGGAACCCAGGTCTCCCGTATGGAAAGAGAGTTCTACCCCTTAGCCACCACCACCCCTTGCTCTTTTCCACAGTGGCATAGGACTCCACTATGTGGCTATTCCTAGGGTAGTTCTGTCAATGGACATTTGGGTTGACGTCTGTGTCCCTCGCCTTCCCCAGATGCTGCCCTGCAGGTGGACACAGTGGTCCCCAACGCCACAGTCACGGAGAAAGCAGCCTTCCAGCTGGATTGCAGCATTGTGTCTCGCTCCAGCCAGGACTCCCGCTTTGCTGTGGTCTGGTATTCTCTGAGGACTAAACCTGGAGACAAAAGGGGCAGCCCTGCCCTGGAAGAAGACGAGGAAGAAGAGGAAGAGGAAGAGGAAGAAGAGAACCCACCAGAGCGGACAGCCCTGCTGAGCGTGGGCCCAGATGCCGTCTTTGGTCCAGAGGGCAGCCCCTGGGAGGGCAGGCTTCGCTTCCAGAGGCTGTCCCCACTGCTTTACCGGCTCACGGTGCTGCAGGCAAGCCCCCAAGACACGGGCAACTACTCCTGCCGTGTGGAGGAGTGGCTGCCCAGCCCGCAGAAGGAGTGGTACCGGCTAACGGAAGAGGAGTCGGCTCCCATTGGCATCCGCGTCCTGGACACGAGTGAGTTGTCCCCATTCATAGAGAAAAGATGTCCCTGTTGATCCCAAGTACGCCTGGGAGATAAATTCAGAGCTTGACTCTGGTTTAATAAGCTGCTTTCTTACCTATGTTGTTGTTAACTGCTGTTGAGTTGGTTCCCACTCATAGGGAACCCCTATAGTATTTCCAAGGGGCAGCTGGTGGGTATGAATCACCGACCTTGAGGTTAGTAGTCCAGTGCTTATCCTATAGCACCACACCTGGACTCCTGTCTTAACGGTTTTGTTGTCCTTTACCTTTGAGTCAGTTCCAACTCATAGTAACGTATACTGTATAGGGTTTCCAAGACTATAAATCTTTATGGGAGTAGAAAGTCTTCATCTTTCTCCCACGGAGCAGCTGGTGGATTCAAACCACTGACTCTGCAGTTAGCAGCCCAGTGGGTAACCGCTACGCCACCAAGGCACCTTCTTAACTATGTTGTTTGTGGTTAAGTGCCATCGAGTCACTTCTGACTCATAGCGATCCTGTATAGGGTTTCTGAGGAGTGGCTAGTGGGTTTGAACTTCTGACCTTGTGGTTTGCAGTCCAGTGCTGATCCTACAGTGCCACACCAGAAGTCCTTCTTAACTATGTTATTGTTGTTAAGTGCTGTTGAGTCAATTTCGACTTGTAGCAATTCTTGTATATGGTTTCCAAGGAGCAGCTGGTGGATTTGAACTGCCGACCTTGTGGTTCCAAGTCCAGTGCTGATCCTACAACGGCACATCACATAGTGGGTGTTTATTAGTAGGATTTGAACTTTGGTAGCATTTTACATACCAGTGACCAGTTCATGTAATTGATGCTTGATTTACCCGTGCTAAAAATAGGGATAGAAATGAAAATGATAATATATCATATAATCTTTATCACAAGTGAGATGTTCTTCTAGATTCTGTAATTAGTAAAACTTCATGATACAAGTTGTTGCATGTAGTACAGCGTGGTGCTATGCTATGCTACTCTTGAGGACGTGGAAGCTAAGTCTCTCTCAAGTAAATCACCCAAATGTATCATACTAATAAAAAGGAAGGAAGTTGATGAAGGCACTGTATCCACTATCATTCTTTTTCTCAACTCCTGGGTTATTTTGGCCTATGTTTTGCTTTGGAGTGTGACTTGAGGGTTAAGGTGGGTTTTGCGAGGTCAGCAGGGGACCCTCCTAGAAAAGCAGTAATGTTACTGGAGAGTGGGAAGGAGCTTTGCTATAGTCTATGCCCTGTCCTCTTCTGCTATAGAGTGGCCAGATTCAGGGTTTCCATCATCCTGAGGGACTTTATGAACAGAGACTAGAGGAGGTACTTACTGTCCTGAATGATCTGCTCTAACAAAACATACTTTTGGTTGGCCTCTGTCAGCGTGTGGGCTATCTCAGTCTGAAATGATGCTTGTTATAGGAGAATTAGTCCATGATGTAGAAATACATCATTATAATTTTCTCATTTGCTAGAATTTTCAGCTTCTTTTAGGTCAAAACGTTTTGCCCAATTACCTTTGTTTGAGTTTTGCCAGCATTTCTTTTCCTTGATCACCTCCTGTTTGTATTCCTGTAGCTGGAGCTGTAGGAACGTGTGATACTATAGGATAAGCACTAGACTGCGAACCACAAGGTTGGCAGTTCCAACCCTATATAGGGTCGCTATGAGTTGAAACTGACTCGACAGCACTTAACACCAAAAACAACATATGAACTTGAGTTAAATGGTTGCTATCCGCAATTTCATATACATTAGAAATCGAATAAGTGGTGTGGCGCTGTGGGTTAATGCGTTGGACTATAAAATCGGTTTGAACCACAAGGTGGGTGGTTCATGCTTACCAGTCACTCCTCAGAAACCCTATACAGGGTTGCTATGGGTCAGAATGTACTTGACAACACTTAACAACAACAAGTTTTCTTAAAGATACTGACGACAATAGCTATTCAGTAAGAGGGGAAGCACATAAAAGCTACACTATACGCAGACCAACTGACAATCTGAATAGACAATTGTAAAAAAAAGAGTTGAAGGGAAGATATGTAGGCAGCATTTTTATCTGCCCTTTGTGGACATCAGTATTTACTAAGCTTTGATGGTGGTGGTGGTTATGTGCCGTGGAGTCAGTTCCAACTCATAGTGACCTCCATAGGGTTTCTGAGGCTGTAAATCTTTACGGGAGCAGAAAGCCTCATTTTTCTCCTGCAGAACCGCTGGTAGTTTCAAACTGCTGACCTTGTAGTTCGCAGCCCAATTCGTAACCACTACGCTACCAGAGCTCCTTACTAAGCTGTGATCGAGCAACCTTATTTTACAGAGAAAAGTGTAGACTCCTCCTGGCAGGGCATTTACTGAAGTTAGCATCCTTGGCCTGGATCTTTAAATCTAAATGTCTGGCTTCTTCCTCTTCCATATCTAGGCACGAGTACCACTATGTTCTTTGCAACTACCGGCACGCTATCAATATCTGAAAATTGTCATTAGTGATGTTTTCACTGATAATGCTAATCATGAGAGCATCATTTCTGTAAAGACTGCTCTCAGAAGCTAGGGGGCAGTACATGCAGTTTTTGCAAAGAAGGACATTCGTAGCGGAACTCAGCGGCTAAGGACACAAAATCTAACCATAAGGAGGCTCCGACTGAACTGAAGTCGCTTCTTATCACAGATGCAGATGAGTTCACAATCAATAAACTATACTTTGTTGCATGGGTTTCTAAGCAGTAACAGTGGCTCATAATGGAAAATGGGAGCATTGCTTTTTTGAGCATCCAACTGTGTTTGATCTGGGAGAAGGGATACTGTTGTAAGAGCAAGAAGTACATCCTCTCCGCCCATAGTTGGAAAGTCAACAAGGGTGCAGGGGCTCTTCCTGGGGCCTCCATTGGGTTGGGCAAGGCCTTCAGGAACAAAGGCCAGCTGCCCAGTGTCTGTGCCCTCATCTTGTGTCCCTCATGTTCCTTTTCAGGTTCCACCCTCCAGTCCATCATCTGCTCCAATGACGCACTCTTCTACTTCATCTTCTTTTACCCCTTCCCCATCTTTGGCATCCTCATCATCACCATCCTGCTGGTGCGTTTCAAGAGCCGGAACTCCAGCAAGAACTCGGAGGGGAAGAATGGGGTGCCCCTGTTGTGGATCAAAGAACCGCACCTCAACTACTCTCCAACCTGCCTGGAGCCCCCAGTGCTCAGTATCCACCCAGGAGCCATAGACTAAAGAGGAAGCCTCAATGGACATCAGCCACCGAGGAGCTGGGGCTCTCCTTCACTGTCTCTTTCTCTGTGATCAGACAGTTGACAGCACCCTAACTGTGGAGTGCTCTTGCAGAAATTGATCAGACTTGAGGAGTTTTCAAAGTTTCCGCTGAGCCACAGACAGGCCGCCCTCAGCGGGTTTGATTGGTTAGCTGTTTGCGCACAGATGTGATGCTGCCGTGGTAGGTTTCTTGTTTTCTGTTTTTGGTAATGTAGTGAGTAGCTCCAGGTGCCACATCTACTCATGGATTTATATAGTGTTCTCAGCTAGATGTTACAGGGGGTCTGATTCTTTATAATGTCCTCTTTTTAAAGCCCTTTGGTTTACCCCTTTTGGATTTCATAATGTTGTGGACAATCTCTTATATACAAGCAATCGCAAAAGGAACAAAGAACTTAACTGACAAGGAATCGCTTCCAAGGCGTTTTGTTTGCACACTTGAAAATGCCACCCATGTATCCAAACACACCCAAACTTTTTTCTGTTTCTTTCTTTCTTTTTTTTTTTTACCTTTCATAATGAGACTTGAATATTATGTGTCATGTGGACTCTGTTTGTATTTTATCTTTTTCCCTCAGCTGGACATGTTGGAACCACTTTATAGTCAAAATGAAAGCATTGAATTTTGCTTAAAAAAAAGCTGTGTATGTACAAGAGAGATCCTATATAGTCCCATTAGGAGTAGACGGTGCCAGCCAGCCTATCTGTCAAGGAGGCAAAAAGGCTTCATCGCAACCTTGCCAAGAAATCAGAACGTTTCTCTCAACGAACAGGTCAAAAGCTCCAAACAGCGCACACTTTACGCAAGCTCAAGTGGGCAGAGCGGCTGTTTTTTAAGCCAATACTGACTTTCAGATTGATCAAAGCCAGTGATTCAAGAAGGAAAGAAGAAAGGCTGGTGTTGGTTCGATTGGTTTCTGCAAGGGCAGTTGCTCACTGAGCACGTGGGCACTGCCTTAAGGTGCTTTGCCAAACTCATAAGGAAAGTGAGCCAAAAATGGGACCATGCTGAGCTGAGCACACGGGGCTGAAGCAGCTACCACATACATGGGTTTTCCCGGAGGAGGGCGCTGGGGTGGTCACGGCTCCATTTGGAGAAGAGTGCATGGTGAGAGGTAGACGTAGGTATCCAAGGTCTGGCATTGAAAAGTGGAGAGGAATAACTACCCCACTAGAGCAGGGTCACTATGAGTCGGAAATGACTCGATGGCACTTAACAACAACAGATATTAAGACTAGGTTTTGCTTTCTCCTTCCAATTTGATTTTCCTCAGAAATATTAACCTCGTCCTTATTCGTCGTTTAGCTCATTGCAGTATGTCACCCTGCCATAGGAATATTGGACCAGGGGAGGGCCAGACTCTGTTCCTCGGTCATACTTCCCGCTTACCTCCTGACACAGAATGTGATCACGTGGTGTGGTCTGTGGGGTTTTTTTGGGTTTTTTTTCTTTCCCTTTCTTGGAGCATGTGTGTGTGGTTTTAGGTTTCTTGGTGGCTCAGTGTTACAGTGGCATTTTACTTTAGTGGCCCTACACCCACCAGGGGCCAGTGCCGCCACCTCTGTCATCTTACTCTGTTGGACGAGGTGCTTGGCTACCTGGACAATATCAGTCACTCACCCTGTGGTGATCTTCTTAGGCTCTTGTTTCCCCACAGTTTGCTAGCCAACAGTACACCCCCCACTGCATTTGTGAATTTGCATCAATCTCAACAGGGCTTGCAATTTAGACAAAAAACACCGGGATTTTGGAAGTAAACAGACTCTGGGGAAGCTCTGGACCTCCCCAGTCCTGTGGACCCTGATCCTGATGTTGGGTGCTGTCGAGTTGATGCCAGTTCCCATTAAATGGAACTGTCCCATTAAGTCTTCCTAGGCTGGAATCTTTTGTGGGAGGAGCTTGCCAGTTATTTCTCCTGTGGAGCTGTAGAATGGGTTCAAACTACCAACTTTAAATGAGCAGCCCAACACTTAACCATTTGTGCCACTGTGGCTCCTCTGGCCCTTTTCATGGTTCCGAATGTGTACAGATTCTTGGGGTGCTTTGCTGAACTGCAGCTGATGGGGCACCAAGTGATTGATTGTTCAGCCACCATTTTCTGAAAGGCTTACCCGTAGCCTAGCCCCTCCCTCCTTCCCAGATATCCCTGGGCACAGCCACCTTAATTCCGCGGCCCGGTGCCTGTCTTGCTCACTCTCATTTCTTATCCTGCATCTATGCGTCCCAGGTACAGAATCACAGTGAGTCCCGGGAGAAGAGAGCAGTCGTTTGCCCCATTTCCTCGGGGTGTGGGCTTCCAGTGTGAAAAGAGCTGACTCCTCTGTTTTAGACTGAGTCAGTGAGCATAGATGACTTTTCCTTTGAGTTGAAACATGCCAGAAGGCTGGATTGGGGTTGGGCTGTCTGACTCAGATTTGCATTTGTGTTAGTTCTTAATTGTAAGAAAGGAGCTATAGCACGCAATTAAACATGTAAAGCAGTTACTGGAAATTTGAAAGGAAAAAACCGAAGCCAGTATTTTAATCATTGTGTTGTTGTTTTTTTCTGTGTATTTTCTATTGGACTGGGGATACCAAATCAAAAGTTGAACTTCTCCAGCTTCCTATGAAAAAAATCCCAGGACCTTCTTTCTTTGGCCCTTTGAATGGAGGTGGAAAGAGGGTGTGTCAGATGAACAGTAATGGTGCCCTCCAGTGGCTGCAAGACCTCATTGCAATTGTTTTAGCCCTTTGGGGCCTGAAGAGAAAAACTGCTCAACACCTCCTTGATTTATCTGTGTCTACAATGTTGCATTTATAAAAACTACACTGTGCTAGGCCCATTCCAAGACATGGCGATGACCACACCCTGTCTCAGCAGGGTGCTTATGTAAAAAGTTCTCATGTTCTTTTCAAACAATGGTTTCTCTGCGCTCATAGTTGATTTAAAAATAATAATAATTAAAAAAATGGTAGAGATGGGAGAAGGAGGTGACCATGCATGATGTAGAGAGCTATTGAACTGTTTTTTTTTTTTTTTGGTTTTGTTTTTTTTTTTAAAAGAAAAACTATTTGTAACATGTTGCACTAAAATGTTTTATATACACTTCAGAGACCTGTAGTAAATTATGTTGACAATACAGTTGTTTACACTGACTTGGTGTCTGCTTTCATTCCCCCCCCTACACCTGGAACTGTCCTCCTTAGGAGCTCTGCTCCAAGAGCTTGGAGTCCTGTCCTTGACATTGCCCCGCTAACACAAAGGTTCAGGATACACCACTTTGGTTTCACACCCTAACCCCAGTCTAACTGGTGCCTTTGTACAAACCGATTTAAAAAAGCAAACAAAAAACCCCACCCTATTCTCCTGACACTGTACTGTCATCTGCTGAAAATGTGTCATCCTAAACATGCCCAACTGCCAAGATCAGATATATCAGGGATCATGGGAATGGTACAACCTCATTGGTTCTGTTATATACATCAGGTCACCATAAGGCAGAGCCCACCAGAAGACACCCTGATTCTGAAGGCCATGCTCTGCCCCTTTTGCTGAAGAGTTGATTGACCCCCCACGTGTGTTGAGTGAAACTGCGCCATAGGTTTCTCAAGACTGTGACCTTTCAGAAACAGACCGCCAGGCCTGTCTTCTGAGGCACCTCTTTTAGTTAGCAGTCAAACACCTAACTGTTTGCTCTACCCAAGGACCCCTCTGCACCCGCTGGTGTTGTATATTGCACAACACACCCGGAGCCCTGATGAGCAAGTTCACAATACAGACTTTATCATCACCATTTGTTTTGTTTGTTTTCCGGGGCTGCAGGGGGAGTCAAGCAGGGATGGTGAAGAAGAGAAGGAACATGGGGCAGTCTTCTTCTTGGCCACCAAGGGTCTCAGCAGCAAGCCCACACCATCTTTCTCACACTGTGCACTGCCACCCTGACTGTGACATTCGTGTATACAGCCAGTACTGTCCAGGACCGAGGTCAGAGCAGGAGCTGTATATTCGTCTCTGCTGAGCCTGCACACCACCCCAGTCTCTATTCCCTCCACAGCTGAAATGCTGCCATGTTTAGGAGGCATTCCCGTCTGCAAATTGAGAAGAATGGCAGTACCCCGTGATTGGTGAGAAACGTTCTGTAGTTCTGTAAAGCTCACAGAACAATCAAAAGGAACTAGAGGGTGAAAATGCAGAAAAAGGTGCTTCCTTTTTTTTAAATCTAAGCTTTCAAAAGCTTAAATGTGTGCATTCCTCTGCTCCCCATTTGCTGCACCCTTATCAACTTCTTGCAGCTGCTGACTTGGCCAGGAGATGAAAATGTGACTGTTTATCCCTCTAGTAACCAAAATGAATCCATATTAAGTTTTATGCATTATTTTTGCCTAATTTTTTTTCTCCTCTCTGCTAGGAAACATTTTTAAAAGGGGTCTAGAGTATTGTGGAATAAGATTACCTCTCTATGCCTGTGTGTAAATCTGCCCAGTGTTTATATAAATGAAGTGAATAGACAGATGAAGCAAGGATGGTTTTTATTTATGCAGGATTAAAAGCAGTGTTTTGCTTACTAAGCTCTAAAATTCATGCTCTTCCTGGGGCCATTTCCAAGAGGTTGGCAGAAACTAGAGCTCGGGTATCAGAGTTTGCTATTGCTAGGAAGAGTGGTAGCCCCTAGCCATTAGAGCAGATTCAGCAGGCCCTTTTTGCTTACCATCTAGTCTCTCATAGGAGTTCCTTACATGGTTAACATGTTCTGCTGCTATCTGAAAGGTAGGGCTTTGAATCCACTCAGAGGTACCTTGGAAGAAAATTCTGGTGATCTGCTTCCAAACTGTCAGCCACTGAAATCCCTACTGAGCACAGTTCTGCTCTTGACACACGTGGGGTCACTATGAGTTGTTGATTTGATGGCAACTGGTTAGTCTCTGATATTTACACTGATACAGACGCTGAAACTGACAAAACCAATGGCCAACATTACTCTGAGAGAGACAAAGCATCCCCCTTGTGAAATGGAAACAAACCACACAATGATGCCTTTTATCACCAATCCTATTCAATATTGCATCGGAAGTTGTCATAGTTATTTAGTTCTGAAATAACAGAAATACCGTAAGTGAGTGATTTTAACAAACAGAAGTTAATTTTCTTATAGTTTAGGAGGCTCGAAGTCCAAATTCGGAGTGTTGGCTCTAGAGGAAGGCTTTCTCTTTGTTGGCTCTGGGGAAAGGTCCTTGTCTCCTTTCTGCATTTGTAGGCCCAGCATTCCTTGGAGATCTACATGCATCTTGGCCTTGCTCTTCCCCTGGATTTAGAAGCTTCCAGTGTAGGGATCACCAGATCCAAAGGACACAATTCACTCCTCTTTATTATCTTGGTGGTAATTGGTCCTCTTTCTCTGCTCACTTCTCTCTCTTTTTAAGATAAAAGGTGTTATAGACACACTCCTAGGAATCTCTCTGACATTGGATCAGAGTTGTCATGGGGTTAAGGGTATT